AGAGAGAGAGAAATCTTACATGTTGCCAGAGGAGAAAAGACCTATATCCACAGGAACAAAGATTGAGACAAAAAACCTAAACATCAGAAACAATGTGAATGAGAAGGTAATGGAGCAACATCATTCACATACTGAAAGGAAAAAAAAATATTAATCTAGAATCTATACATGGCAAAAAATATCTTTCAGAAATGAAGTTGAAGCTGGGAGTGGTGATACTTATCTATGGTGGTTTGAATAAGAATGGCGTCCATAGACTCATATATTTGAGTACTTGGTCCCAGTTAGTATAATTTACTTAGGAAGAATTAAGAGGTATGGCCTTGTTAGCGGAGGTGTGTCACTGGGGTGGGCTTGGAGGTTTCAAAACCCCACACCATTCCCAGTATCTCTCTGCCTCTTGCCTGTGGATCAGATGAGAGTTAGCGCTGCTGCTGCTGCTGCTGCTGCTGCTGCTGCTGCTGCTGCGCTCTGCCTGCTACCATGCTCTCACCTGTGGTGGTCATGGACCAACCCTCTGGAACTGTTAGGCCCTCAAAATTTTCTTCTGTAAGTTGCCTTGGTCAAGGTGTTTTCTCATGGCAATAGTATGATAACTAAGACATTATCTAGTATCCCAGAACTTGCAAGGTTGAAGCAGCAAGCCAGTGAGTTCAAGGCCAGCCTTGACTACATAGTGAGATCCTATCTCCAAACACAAAACAATGGGAAAAATTCTGTTTCCCCATTCTGTTTCCCTTTAGCTAGTGAAGTTGAAAGGATTCATCATCATAAGATTTAATTACAGAAAAAGTTAAAGGACACTCTTAGAGGAAGACAGAAGACTGGATCCACACAGAGGAATGCAGAGCACCAGAGAAAAGTGAAAACAAATAGTTAAGATTCTTTCCTAATTATTAAGGTCTTCAAGAAAAATAGCAGCAGTGTATAACATTATAGTGAGTGTGTAGGAGTGTGTGTGTGTGTGTGTGTGTGTGTGTGTGTGTGTGTGTGTGTGTAAAATCAGATCAACTCCTGATGGTCAGGAAGGGGGGCTTGTCCTGGGCTACCATGGTTCACTGAAGAATGGAGCAGCGACAGTTTAAGCCCAAGTTAGGCTCAAAAGCAAGCTCAAGATGGCTCTTCTGATTTCTTTCTGTTGAACAGTGTTTGTGACTGTTCCGTTCCTTGGTTTTCCAAATAGACAGTTCACTTTAGTCATGAGCTGTGCCTTAACTTGAACCAGGTAGTTACTCACTATCAATGCAGGCTTGGAAACTTAACTTGAACCAGGTAGTTAGTTACTCACTACTAATGAAGGCTTGGAAAGATAGCGTGGCACTCATGATTACCTAGAGGCTCAGCTGGTATTCAGAGGTACAGAATTACCAACTAGCATTCAATGTAACTAATGGTTGGAGACGCCATCACACTGAAAGGTGAATATCCTTCTAATAAAGAAGCTGTCAAAAGAAAAAAAAATATTTTGGGGGCGTAGGGGATTGAAACCAGGGCCTTGAACATACTGTGCAAATAATCTACCCCTGAACTACACTCCCAGTTCCAAAACGTTTTTTTTTTTTTACAGGCAAGGGAGGGTATTTCTTTTATGACATATCATTTATAGAAAGGATAACCAAAACAAACCTCTACAGTGGTGTATCCTGAAAAAAACTTAATAAGCCAGGCATGGTGGTGCATGCCTTTTACCCCAGCACTTGGGAGGGAAGAGGTGGGTGGATATCTGTTAAGTTGCGGACAGCCAGGGCCACATAGTGAGGCCCTGTCTCAATAATAAAATAACAACAACAACAATAAATTAACCTGTGGTGATATTGTGTTCCCCAAAATATTGTGTACCCTAATAAACTTATCTGTTTATTATTGTCAGAGAACAGAACAGCCACTAAATACAGAGGCTAGAAAATGGTGGCACTCACACCTTTAATCCTAGCTCTGGAGGCATGGATCTCTGTGAGTTCAAGGCCACACTGGAAATAGCCAGGCATAGTGACTCATGCCTTTAATCCCAGGAAGTGATGTCAGAAAGCAGAAAGGTACATAGGTGTGAAGACCAGAAACTAGAAGCATTTGGCTGGTTAAGCTTTTCAGGCTTTCGAGAAGCAGTTCAGCTGAGATCCATTTGGAAAAGGACTCAGAGGCTTCCAGTCTGAGGAAACAAGATCAGCTGAGGAATTGGCAAGGTGAGGTAGCTGTGACTTGTTCTGCTTCTCTGATCTTCCAGCATTCACCCCAAAAACTGGCCCCAGGTTTGATCTTATTAATAAGAACATTTTAAGATTCAGGCTACATTAACCAATTTTTCTTTTTCTTTATGATTTTTACTTACATACCTCACCCGCCTGAGATTCTGAAAGTTCCAGCAGGAAAGGGATTTCTGTGTCAAAATTAGCAAAGAAGCTTGTCCACTGATGCTCAAACACCACCAAGTCCTATTTAAAAACAAACAAACAAAAAACAAACCCCCCAGAGTGTCATATAAGAGGTCCATTAGAGAACGGAAATCATGAACTTATCTGAAATAGCAGACTGTTCTATGTGGTTATTTATTATTATTGAAAAGAAAATGTCCAGGAAAAGAATATCTATGATGACAAAGTGGGTCAGCAGTAGTTATCTGGGGACTGAGGATAGACATTGACTGCACATGGACACAGATAACTTTCTGGGTTGATAAAAATGTTCTCTATTTTAATTTTTTCTTGTTTTAGACAATGCTTTGCTATGAAGCACTGGCTGGCCTGGAGCTCTCTATGTAGACCAAACTGGCCTGCCTCTTCCTCCCAAGTACTGGGATTAAAGATGCCCAGCCTTCACTAGAATTCCTTGCTTACTGCTACCTGTCTTTCTATCCATCCACCTAAGCTATGACTGTACACATGTGTAAGATGCACACACATATATTTATAAAATTCTCAATAATCACAATGTGGGAATTTTGGGGGAGGGTTGGAATTTGTTTTGAGATAGCATCTTAGTATGTAGCCCAGGCTGACCTCAAGCTCATTATCCTCCTACCTCAGCCTCTTGTGTACTTGTATTAGAGGCATATACCAACATTCCTCACTAGATATTTTGGTTAATGACAGACCAAACATATGATAGCATATACTATATAAGGGGCTTTATCATTTAGGTTTATGTTATCATACTCTATAATGCTTACACAATGACAAAACTGCCTAAAAATACATTTCTCCATATCTACATTCTTTTCATATTTCTTAAAGATTTATTTATTTTTATTTTATGTGTATGAATGTTTTATTCCCATGTATGTATATGCATCATGTATGTGCCTGGTGCCCACAGAGGTCAGAAGAGGTCCTCAGCTCCCCTCAAACTGGAGTTACAGATGGTTGTGAGCCAAGAGGGTGCTGGGTACCTACCTGGGCCCTCTGTAACAACAGTAAGCCTTAACCACTGAGCCATCTGTCCAGCCTTCAAATCCTATGTATTGCATACATTCACACACATACAACGGAGGAAGCTCTGCCTGCTAAGGAGGCCTAGAACTGGACCACAGCAGTCACAGCGAGCATCCCTAATACCCAGTGTGCTGCTGAAATACGGTTTCCCATGCACAGTAGCCAGCAGCTGGAGAAAAGATCAATTCTAGGTCTACGTCAGGAATTTGCAAAATACAGACATGGAACATCTTACAGCAACTGTCGAGGAAATGCCAAGGGTATGGCTACAGGGTTCAAAGGACGTGTGAGCCACTACCCAAAGACAAAACAACATGGGCGCCACCCAAGGCCAGTCCTGGATCACTTCATCTACAGACTTCCTAGCTGTTTCTTCTCATGCTCTCACACTAAAAAGAATTTCCTACTAAATTCAAATATTTTAAGGGTAAGACTGACCTTTAACTAGCTCTCGAACTGTACTGTACCATTTTAGTATAATTCGCTTATAAAATATGACCTGTCTTAAACAAAAATCTAAAATGCAAAAGAATTCACCTAGAAAACCATATGCGGGTTGGGGATTTAGCTCAATGGTAGAGCGCTTGTCTAGCAAGCGCAAGGCCCTGGGTTCGGTCCTCAGCTCCAGAAAAAAAAAAAAAAAAAAAAAAAAAACATATGCTTCTGCTATTTCCTATATTTTTTTTCAATTGTTTATTTTAGATTTCCAATATGTCTGTGGTCCACTTTGACTGGAGAAAATGTTTTTAGAGAAAATTATTCCCCTTATCAAGATAAAATTACACTGAAGTGAGGCAATAACTTTTTGATAATTATTAATTTCTTTTGTTTTTTTCTTTTGTTTTTTTGAGATAGGATCTTGGATTACCTTAAATCATTGATCCTCCTGCCTCGGCCTCCTACATGCTGGGATTAGAGGTATGTACCAAAATGCACAGCTGTTAATTTCCTTGTGTCAATTATTTCACTTATTCTGTTTTGTTTTTGGAGACCGGGTCCCAGCTATGTGATCTGAATTACGTGGTCCCAGCTAACTGGAACCTTACCATCTAGACCAGGCTGGACTTGAATTTCCAGAGACCATCCTGCACTTCTCTCCAAGTGCTGGGATTACAGGTATGTGTCTGTCACATACCCAGCTCCATTGCCTTTATATATTTTAATTTTATATGTATGAGCGGTTTTATCTACATGTAATTAAGTGCACTGGCTGCCTGCCTTGTACCTGCAGAGGCCAGAAGGAGGTGTCATATCCCTTGGAACTAGAGCTACTGACAGTTTCGAGCTGTCATGTGGATGATGGGAGTTGATTTGAACCCAGGTCCTCTGTAAGGATATTAAGTGCTCTTAACAACTGAGCCATCCCCCATTGCACATATTTTGAAAATTGTACTTTTTTTGTACCCCCCCCCTTTCTTAGAGACAGGGTTTCTCTTTGTAGCCTTGGCTGTCCTAGGACTTGTTCTGTAGACAAGGCTGGCCTTGAACTCACAGAGATCTGTCTGCCTCTGCCTCCCAAGTGCTGGGATAAAAGGCATGTGCAAACATGCCCAGCTTGCTTTACTTTTCTTTTTGTTGTTGTTTTTAGTTTTTGCAAAGAAATCCAAACCAGCCCAAATCTTACTTTTTATCTGTTTATGGCTGCCAAAGCATTTACTGCTTTTTGGTTTGTGTTTGACAAGGAGGGAAGGGGCTATGTCTCAGTACTGAACATTCTAGGCAAAGGACATGAGATGGTCTGGAACTCACTCTGAGACCAGCTGGCCTCAAACTCAGAGATCCACCTGTCTCTGCCTCCCAAATACCAGGACTAAAGGTCGTCATGCCTGGCTATCTTTTTCAATACATAGGCGAGAAGGACAAAGACAGATTCTAATTTTCTTTGCATACCCTCCAAGTAGATCAGCCTTAGGTACTCTTTTGTTTTTATTTACTGATCATTAAAAAAAACAGTAAACACAATCTACTCTACCTTATTCTAAATGGTTAGTACAAATTATAAGTGACAGATCTCAGAGGATTCTGGTAAACTATGACCATTTATTTATTTATTTATTTTATAGGTTAGAAGACAACTTTGTGGGACTTGTTATCTCCTTCTCTGTGGTCATCAGGCTTGGCAACAAGTGCTCCTACAGGCTGAGTCATCTCATTGGCCCCATAACAAGATTTTGTGTGTTTATTTGAGACAGGATCTCACTGTGTAGTCCTGGTTAGTCTGGAACTCTATACAGCCAGGGCTAGCCTTGAACTCACAGAGCTCCACCATCCTGTGCTTCCAGAGTACTGGGATTAAAGGCATGTGCTACCACACCAGATGAACAATTAATGACTGAAGAGCTGGCAAATTCCCGTCTAGGGTGGGACACATTTCTGTAAACAAGAAAGCTGCAGAACACAGACACACCCAGTTTAAGCACTGTCTGAACAGCTTTTGTGCTACAATGACATCGCTGAGCTGTTGCAAGGACCTAGGCAGGATGTTAAAATATTACTATCTAGCAAACAGGACAAGTTTGCCACTTCTGGTCCAAACCTCATCTCTTTAAGCAATTTGTCATCTTAGTTTTTCATGCTACAAAAGACAACTTTTACATTGTTTTATTAAAGCCCGGCACAACCACCCCCTCCCCCTGGGGAAAAAAAAAAACTTGATGTGAAATTAACGGTCTCACCAGGCAGGAGGCCTAGGCTTTCCTCAGAGTGGAAGAGGAAGCCCCATTCTCCCAGGTTTTCTACCTTGCAGGGGTCCAGCACAATCTAGGAAGAGGTGCTCTGCTCTTTGATAAAGCAAACTAAGCTATACCTTGCATTTCCCCAAATGAACTACCTTCGGTGGGTATTTGACACGGCTAGGCTAATGAACATAGTCATGTTAAATACGGTTTGGCTCCTTACCTCTGAAAGCATATTCTCCAGAGACATAGGGTCCATCTTGCTGTAGACATTCCACAGACTCAAACTTACATCCTGCAACTGCAACAAAGGGAAAAACATTGAAACAATGAAGTCAAATCACTAGACAGCCAATTACTTCTGATTTTCTGATATTCCAAAATTACTATCTTGGTATAAATGGTGTTCTAGAATAATAAACCAAAATTGTATTGATTATATTATTGATGATATTGTTATTTATAAATTATTAATTTTGTTAACTGTATTTACCGTTAAGCAAGGCTTTATTAACTCCATTAGAATAAACCAAAACTTTATTAATATGTTTGACCCTATACAAATTAGTAAATGTTTTCTCATTCAAAGAAATTATTTTCAGAATCTTCAATATATTATCTGATTACATTCGATGACAGTACATACACATTTATACATATATACACATGCTATGTTTTTTATTTATCACTTTAATTAAAATAATACAAGCTTGTGATTTAAAATCAAACAGTACAAAAGGCTTATAATAAGAAATCTGACTCCTCTACTTGAACCTTCTAGCAAGCCCATTAGTCTCACTCAAAAACAGTTACTTAAGAGTTTGTTGTTGTTATTTATGTCTATATATTGACATATGTTCCTTTCACTATCAATTTTGAAGTTAAATATTAACTTACGCAAAGATGCAGGTCTTCTCTATCATCCCACCCCACACTTACTTCTCTATACCCACATACTCTAATACCACCTTCTTGGTTATACTCTAATACCACCTTCTTGGTTACATCATTAGCTGTTTATAGCATCGCACAAATATTATCACACATATTACCATACATATATTAGGTAAAGTACATTTTTACCCTCACCAGGTGTACTAACTGCTCCATTTTCATCACTAGCATAATCTTTGCTTGTTTGCTTTTTTTTTGAGGCAGGGTCTCACTCTGGTGAGCTCTGGCTGGCCTGGGCTTGCTTTGTAGCCTGCCTGGCCTTAGCCTCACAGTCCTACTTGTCTCTACCAACTGAGCGCTGGGATTAGCAATTCAATCCTAAAGTGGTTTTTGTTTTTTGTTTTGTTTTGGTTTTTGGTTTTTTTTCGAGACAAGGTTTCTCTGTGTAGTTTTGTGCCTGTCCTGGAACTCACTCTGCAGCCCAGGCTGACCTTGAACTCACAGAGATCCGCCTGCCTCTGCCTCCGCAGTGCTGGAATTAAAGGCGTGCGCCACCGCTGCCCGGCTTTCAATCCTAAAGTTGAACAGTCCCTCCCAGTCTGCTTACTCCAGGACTTCCTGATGTGCCACTACTGTTATCTCCTTGCCTGCGCAGAGGCTCCTGTGCAGATGCTCCTGCGCAGTACAATGCATGCAGCATCCCTAGCCTCTGTGCAGCACCTTCCCTTTGCACTTCTTCTCTCAAAGCCAAATGCTCGGGGGCAGGAGAAGACAAAATCACCCCTGAGATCCAAGTAATCCATAGAATTTTCCTCACCTACTGCACTTCAGGATGTGAAGAGAATAGACTCTTCAAGAGCATGCTGATCAATGTTAGCATCCTAGATGCTCTGCTCTTTGGTACTCTGATGAATTCTGACTTGTTTTATTTTGTTTTTCAAGATAAAGTCTATGTAGCCGAGGCTAAGGAGAACTTGCTGTTACAGTTTGAATATAAAATATGCTGAACTTATGTCAGTAGGTGATGGTGCTGTTTCACAGGTGGTGGAAACTTCAGGAGGTAAGGTCTATGAGGAAGGGAATATGGTCACTAAGAACATGCTTTTGAAGGTTACACCTGGCTTCCAGTCCCTTCCTCATCTCTGCTTCTGTGTACCAGGAGCGATCAGCCACTGCCACATGGTCCCACTGCCATGTTCTCCTTCACCATGGGCCAAGGATTCTGAATTAAAATTTGTGGAAACTCAGGCCCAATAAGTCTTCCTCCTTTGATAGTTTCTGTCAATCCGATATTTTGTTACAGTGATGAAAAGTCTAACTACCACACCTGCAGCCCTCCTGCCTCAGACTCCTAACTCTTGGGATTACAGACATAGACCACCACGTACAATTTGGGATACCATCTTACAAAGACTCCAACGTACAGTATGGATCGTTAAGGAAGGGAATGGCTCAGTTGCCTTTAGCCTACTGGCTATGGGTGAGATAGGACCTCTGTTGGTCTTTTCTGTATCGAACACACAGATTGCAAGCCCAGTGCCACTTTGAGATCTTTGGCAGCAATTAACCATGCAGCTCACACATGATTGAGCCGGTATGATAATGAGCATTCAGAGACGGGTAATTCCTGGGGGGCACTCACCAACCTAAGACAGAGCACCTGTGTGGCCTGGGCAGGCGTCTCCATGACAGGTAAGGTGACCTGCTGACGTCCCACGCAACCCAAATCAGAAGCTCATTTTTTAATAAAAGGGGGACCTGAAGGTCCCTGGCCCCCGTTTTGGGTAACTGTTGCCTTGCTTGCGGACCTTGACCTTGATATCCTCCCAATGCTAATTCTCAGCCAGATTCCACCCTCCTGAATGCTTAAGGGAAGTTCCTTGTCTGTGTAACCTGAATAATGGGCGTTAGCAGCTTAGATGCAAGATTGTAAAACATCAGTAGCTACTCCTGCCCTCTGGGGTTCTCCCATTGTGCTGTAAGCCTGTATTTAACCTCCTACCCCCTTCAAGAAATGACATTCGACACTTAAAATATATTATATATAAATAATAATTTATATATATATATAAATTGAATGAATACTGCGAATGTAATCTATGAATACCACAAATGTGATTAATATCATGAGTGTAAGTAATGAATATCATGAGTGATGAGTGTAATTTAAAAAAATAAAAAAAAAAAGTGAGTAGTTACATGTTAGGTGTGGTGGCACATGCCTGTAACCAGGAGGCTGAAGCAGGAGGTTCCTGAATGAGGGCGGCCTAGGTTACACAGTGAGATACACAGTGTGTGTGTGTGTGTGTGTGTGTGTGTGTGTGTGTGTGTGTGTGTTCACTTTTTCCCCCTATGAGACAGGATTGTTCTATGTAATCCAAACAGGCATGGAACTAGTGATCTTCCTGCCTTGGCCTCCTGATGGCTAGATTACAGACATGCACCATGATTGGCTAAGACAGGGATATCAAGATTTATAGTCTTATATGATAATCACTATTTCTTCCACATGGCCCATCCCACCCTGAAGGCACAATTCAAAATAAAGACCTACATTCACCCTTCAAAGATTCTAGAGGGGTGGTGGGTGTGTTCCCTTTAACTACGACTTCACAGTAGGAAGTATCCAAGGCAAGAGCCATAAAGCCTGTCTCACATGGACTGTATCAGTGGTGTGGCACTTCTTAACGTCACTGCAGACAGCCCAGGTTGGGAGTACAGGCTCTAAGCCTCATCATCCAGGCCCGGCCCCAGCCCTGCCCCTCACTCACTAGCTGTGTCTTTGGGTAAATTTGTTTAGTCCCTCTGTTAGAGGAACATAAAACAGTACCTACCCCAGGGGGTCACTGTACAAATTAAATCACTTTATATGATATACCTGAAATAAAGAAGGCACTCTACATAGTTCAGACAATTAAATATAGACAAACATAACCAGCTGAGCAGTGGTGGCGCATGCCTTTGATCCCAGCACTCAGTAGGCAGAGGCAGGTGGATCTCTGGAGTTCAAGGCCAGCCTGATCTACAAAGTCAGTTTCAGGACAGCTAGGGCTACACAGAGCCCCCACATACACCCCCTCCAAAAAGATAAAACAAACATAACCATTATTGTAAAAAGGCTTCCTTTCTGTCCATTGTGGCCAAATTCCCTTCAAATTCCTTTTGAATTTGTGGACATTTCAAGGGCAACTCCCAAAGCCTTATTTTCACATTGTAACTATAGTAATTCTAACCAGACAGAAGGTGAAGTCCACAGATAGCCTTAGAGAGGGTGGTGTAGTTCCAAGCAAGTCCCCAAACACTTCCTTAGGTTGTTATTCCTTCCACTTGCTTCTAAAGGTACTAGTCAACAAGATGTCCCCATTTCTAGAATGACAATGCTTCCCCTCCCTGGTTTGCTATTGGGTCACATCAATTGGGGTCCCTTGGAGCCAAATAGATGCCTTCAGTCACCAGGCCACACTCCCTAACCTGTACTATGGATGAGTCAATTACCAGACTCACTCTCACCCATTAATCTATCTCCAAGATGCAAGAAATACAGAAATAAAAAAAA